CAGCCGGGCAGAGGCGGTGCTGAGGGCCAGGGTTTGGGGGTGGGATGGCAGGGGTAGGGGAAGGGTTGGGCTGGGGGAGCTTAAAGTTCTTTTCCAATCCAAACAATTCTGTCATTCTGTAATTCTAATGAGAAGAAAATCAGATTAAACCTGATTATTCCAACCAAAAGCAACCTATATATATTTATATTTCTATATAAAAGCATTCACATTTAGCACTAAAAAATCCCAAAGGCATAGAATTCAACCTGCCAGGATCCAGATTACCATCCTTGTTTTCCTTCTGCATTTATCCCACCACAAGGTTCAAAATGAATGGTTTCTGCATGACCTTTCAAGACAAAAATTTAAGCAATACACTTGCTGTACTAGATTTGGGATAAAAAACCCTGAACTCCAAAGCAAACCGAGAACGTGGCCTAGGGTTAACAACCTTTACCTCAACTTTATTACACTTCAGGGTTTTTTTTATTTCCTTCTTGTCTAATATAAAGCTTGGCATTAATTTTTTTTCAATGTCCTCCACTGCTGCAAAAAGAGGAGATTTAAAAAAACCCCATATCTTATAATGTATAAATTATATATTGTATCTGAAATTAGATCTCAAATCAAAATTTTGGGGCAGATGCCGAACACTTGGGCTCATGAAGTGTTCATGGGAACGGTTTGCTGAGCTGCTGTTCCAAACTATGGGCTCCAAGCAAAGTCTTCCACTCAGCTGCCAATCCAGACCGAGACTCTCGTTAAGCTCCAAAGCTGTAATGAGTTCCCAGGACTGTAGGAAGGGGTTTGCACGTGCGACGGCAGCCAACATCCCCTCCAGATCTACCACGTCGTATGCTTTAGCGATTATTTTCAAAGCGGTTTGAGAAGGAACCATCTACAAACTCCTTAACTTCATGCTTCTCCTGGGCAAAGTCTATTTTGTTTGTCTTGGTGAGTTTAAATAGCCCCCAGAACAGCTCGTGGCTACCTTAGAAACTGATACGGAGCTCAACGATGCGAGTTAAAGCAACGTAAATGAAGTCTAAGCACAGAAAGCAAGAATTAGGCAGAGCCTGGCGCTTGTAATGCAGGAGACTGGGCAACCTTTTAATAACTGAGAGAGAGGTTGAGACCACCCTCAGGAGTTGCCTGTCTTTTCTATACAAAGGATAAAATTTACATTTTCTCTCCCTCTTTTGCAGTATAGCTTTAGGTCCTTCATTAAATATTCAAATTCATATTTCAAGAGTTTTGTAATACTGTTTGCCCAGCAAAGAAAACAGCTCTTCATTTAAACCCTTTTTAACCTATTATCTGTTTTGGGACTTCGCTGTAAGAATTCAGCCCGCCAACTCCTGACCTTACACCTGTGCAATGGAAAAACCAAGCACTAATTTGGTTTCATTACTGCTTCGGTGTCTCCTTTTTTAGCTTTGTATTGGGTCAAGCTGCATAGCGTTGGGCTTTCCATCGGCATGTAGCCAGGTGCTGATAACACACCACGCATCAGGGCTGTGTCTCCAACATTCCACCACCACCACCAGTGGGCTGGGAGGGGGCAAGATCTTGGGAGGGGGTGTAGCCAAGACACCTGACCCAAACCAACCAAAGGCATATTCCATACTGTATGATGTTGGCTCCAATATGAAAGCTAAGGAAAAAAAAGGAGGAGGATGCTCCTCTTAGGAGGATGTCTCTTAGCATGCTTTGTCTTCTGGAGCAACAGCTATGTAGACTGAAGCCCTGCTTCCCGGGCAGTGGCTGGTCATCGCCTGCTAATGGGAAGTAGAGAACAAAATCTTGTTTTCCTTTTGCTACCACGTGCAGCCTTTGCTTTTGCTTTCTATTAAACTGCCTTTGTCTTGACCCATGAGTTTCCTTTCTTTTCCATCTCATTCTCTCCCCGCCTGTCCTGCTGGAGAGGGGAGCGATAGAGAGGCTTTGGCGGGCCCCTGGTGTCCAGCCAGGGTCAACCCATCACAAGCTTTCATGTAACCCTTTTTTTTTCTTTGTTTTTCATTATGAAATTTAATTCATCCTCCCATCTGCAAAAGGTTCAAGGTATCTCTTCCATATGACTGGACAAAATCGGTGAAATATATTTCAGCAACTCCATCCCCCAACCCGACAAATCATAGAATCATAGAACGTTTTGCGTTGGAAGGGACCCCTAGAGGTCATCCAGTCCAATCCCCAATGCTACACTATTGAGTTTCAGCTTGAGATGCTGAAATTCAAAACATCTGACAAAAATATAATATATTTTAATTGGTTTACAGTTCACATTAGCACATTCCTACATTCAACCCGTCACTTGAATCTCCCCTTCCTTGTTTTTCCATTGACTGAACTAAGGTCCTCATCCTATTTTTTCCAGTCTGATCTGCCTCCAATTTTTTTCTCCAAGGTCATCCAGCGCATCTGCCTCTTGATTTCTCTTCATGTACCACAAACTCTGGAAAACAAATGCCTGAAGTCCGATGGTTTGGGGGGAAACCAATCTCATGGTGGCCACCTCACCACGATCCCCACCAGGGCTGGCACAAGCTGGCCAAGGCAGATGATAGCTTTATATATTTAAGCGCGCAGTATAATCTTCACAGTGATTAATGAGCAGGGTATTTTAGAAGATAACGTCCTATTAATGTAGCTGTTTGACTTATTCAGAACGCAGTCATGTAGAATTCATTCATCGAAACCAGAAATCCCCCTCTTTAGAGGTGATGCTCGCCTTCTCCTTCCAGAAAGATCAAGGTACAAACTCTATTCAATCTGCACCTCAATATTTAAATAAAATTGTCTTATCAAGTGCCAGAAAGCAGCTTCTGAACCATTCAGGACTGTATGAAAGCAGATATGGAAAATCCATGTTGCGTGGGTATTAAGGGCGAGCTTTGAGCACATGCCAAAAAAAAAGGTGAAGTGGGAGAGAAGTAGACTCTTGTCCAAACCACCCTTGTGCTGGAAAGCACAAAATTGCTGTTATTTCTAGTGCAGGAAAATAACTGTGCACTTAGGAGCTCATTCTATCACCCAAGCACTGCTGGAGCCTGCAGTCCTCTTACAATGGAGATATTTTTGAAGAGACTGTTATTCACAGAAGGTTGGTTTTTTTTTTTTTCCCCCCAGCCTCTAGCGCTTTGACTGTGAGACCAAAGTTTCCCCGAGCTGCAGTATCTCCAACAAAGCAGCACGCATAAATTTGATGGGGAAAAAAGAAAGGGTGAATAAAAATGGGGCATAAATGCCTTTGAGGAACTCGCCGCTCGGCCGGATATCAGAGAGGTCTCCTCGCAGCAACGCAGCCAGCCCTACTGATCTACTGGCTGAAAGAGCTCTCCAAGTCAATGCGAATGTGTTGGAAATGAAGTAGCTAAGAGCGTTTGATGTTCATTTCCATTTGCTGGTGACCACCCTCTTCCACAAAAGCACGTTCCCAAAGCGATTTCACACATTAGGTAAAAGTCAACACATACAACCGGCGCCGCAAATACAAAGGAAGTCTTAACACAATGCGACACTTCATAGCTAATTATATTCCACCAAATGTCAGAAGAAGGAGTCTTCTAAGGCCGATTTTGTAAGGTGCTTATACAAGATCAGAACAACAAGTGCTGGTAAACATAATCCACAGCGGAAACCACAGATACACCTAAGCTGAGCTTTTCTTTTTCCAAAGCACTGTTTCTCACTGAGCTAAATTCTTCCCATACCAATACACTGTATTTCCCCACTAGTTACGTAATTACGATAAACATATTTCAATGCCTTTTTCGAGTATTAAAGATGACATTTTTAGACAACTCAGTTCTAAAGCTGGACTTCGAACAGACAGCGGACTTGCTTGTTAACCAAAGCGTAACTTGAAAAACAAACAAAAAAAAATCAGTCACTAATACAGTTAAAATCACCACCTATAACAGTAACTGCATGTTCTCCAAATAACAGGCTCTCGTCCGTGGGATTCCCATTTCTAGGGCAGGATTATTCCAGCACGTCCACCCGAGTCGCTCCGTTCAGCCCCGGAGGCAAACTGACTCCCCCCAGCAATTTCTTGCGTGGTTTGTTTGTCTAAAGAAACCCCCTTCCGATCCTTTTCTTTAGGATCTCCAGGGCATCCTCTTATGAATTCAGATCCATTTCTTCTCACTAACCTTACTGCACGGGCTTCGCTGAAGACTTTTTCCTGCAAGTCACATTCCCATCTGGCTCCCTGATGGGAACTCCTTCTCCCTTCGTTAAGGGATTAACCACTCATTAATCATCATCTGCTCCCACCACCGACCACGGACATGCACGGAAGAGCTGCTCAACACCGGTCCTACCTGTGTACGCCATGTTCTTCGGGTTTCCGTAGGGAGCCCCAGGTTGGACGGGGCTGTAAACAGGGTTCATGGTGGAAGACCGGGAACTCTGAGGATAAAAGAAAAGCAGAGTTGAGACGACTGCCTTATGTTAGCTCCGGAGTCGTCTTCCATGCAAAGAGTCTTCTGCTACGTGCAAGCGTTACCGTGTTATAATTCAAGACACAGAGAGCTGTGAAGGGAAGGATTTACAACTAGACGTTACAACCAGATAGCGTATTTAATAATTCAAGTTTTGGATCTCTCAGTTAATTCCCCAAACTTCTTCAGCGCTGCATATTCAGCCTACAAATGTACCCAGAGCAGATTAATCTTACACATCCCCGCCTTCAGGGGGGCTCAGGACTCGTGACCCCACTTCTGGCTTGCGACGAACAAAGAGGAGAAGCCACCAATTCTGACAAGGAATCCTCCCCCTCAGAGGAGCTAATAGTTCTTGGGTGACAAAACCAACCGCAACGAAGACCTGACCTTTCAGAAATGAGCAGATAAAAGACCATTTGCTGCTGGTGAGATGGAAAGCGACAAATATTTGTGAGCTGACTGCAGTAACCTCCAGCCCGAGGCTCGGGTCCCGTGCTCAGGGCACCCAGGGCCACCCACTGCACCCCACCACTGTCCCAACGGGGGAGATGGAGTCACGGAGCGAAGGCGTGCAATGAGACTGTTAACAGCCCTTCTGTTTCTCTCTCCAATAAAGATGATGAAGTGGTGCCGGGTTAGCTTCTTGTGAGTTTTATTTAGAGGAAAGCAAGTAACTTGGGAATTTGTGTCTACTAACTGTCAGTTAAGCAACTGGCTCAGTTAATTACCTTAATGAAGCACATTCTCGATTCTGATTAATGGGAAAATCAGTCATTAAGCTTTATTAGGCGACGCATTTGTCTCCGCAGCTATCGAGTGACAATTTCACACAAGAACCTCAGCGATCTTGCTTCGAAATGTGGCGGGTTTTTAAATGTACGATTTTACAGTTCATAAACAAACCCGTTCTTTCCAAACCGGGCTCTCATGATGGATGCACAATTTTTTAGATCATTAACTCCTTCCGCTTTACCTCAGGATAGTAAACAAGTCAAATGTTAAATGTTAGCACCAATTGACTTGACAACAATTACTGCTTAATTAATTAGCCTTCCCCCACCCCCCCTCCCCCAAGTTAGCACAGAAGGAGCCAATTCTCAAAGCGAAGGGAATCCCGGTTCTAAAGCGAGTGGAAGAGAAAGCTCCACAGAGACACGTCTTCACGCCAGTGGCTTCAGTAACGCACGATGGAACACTTAAGAAGATCAACAGGAAAATCAATGCAAAACTTCCCCACCATGAGACGTTACAACTGGGGATCGACATTCAAGCACAAGGGGTTTACGGCCATTTGGTCCTCGTGTCCCCAAGCAGCGCTCCAAACCTCGGCGAATGAGGTAACGGATGATAGGACGAGGGGGAATGGTCTGAAGCTGCGCCAGGGCAGGTTTAGGTTGAACATTAGGAAAAACTTCTTCACCGAAAGGGTTGTCAGGCTCTGGGATGGGCTGCCCAGGGAGGTGGTCGAGTCCCCATCCCTGGAGGTATTTGAAAGAACGACAGATGAGGTGCTGAGGGACAGGGTTTCGTGGTGGGATGGCAGGGTTAGGTTAAAGGTTGGACTCGATGATCTTAAAGGGCTTTTCCAACCAAAGTGATTCTGTGATTCTATGAACCTGCCCCTGGCAAGCGGGTTTAAGTTCTCATTTACTGGAGAAAACCCAATGCTTTCTATCTCTGAGGTGGTGAGCACCACCTTCTCCAAGTGTCCGGCCACAAGCCTGGCTCTCGGGCTGCTGTCAGGATCCCATTCAACACAGGAGGCTATTCCAGTGCAGGACGTGGTGGATACAGGACGCACTCATATGGACACCTCAAACTGTGGACAAACAAACACGTTATGTGTCTGCACACGCTGTACGACACCTACCTGCCACTGCTTTAAAAAAATACAACCCCTTCATAGGAAGGTGAGCTTCAAAATCCACCCCTATTATTAGGTTTTTTTTTTTTCTAGTGAAAAAAGAAATGTTGATGTAAGCCCAACCACCACACTTCTATCGCACATTATTTCTAGGAACAAATCGTCATATGCAAAGCACCAAAACGAAAAGCCTCTCCTTGTCCAAAGCATGTAGGACACGTTTCACCCACGCAGGTACCTTTTCAGCAAGTTGAAAGGATCTGAAAGGAGATGGTTTGACAGTAACAAGGTGGGGGAACATGCTGCCCAGAAGTGCCAGCACAGCCCAACGCACGAGGAACATCTACTGCCAGTCTAAACGCAAGCCGGGAAGCCAAAACCTACTCCTTTTTATCCAAATTAAACTGAACCAGGGTAGGTTTACACTGGATCTAAGGAAGAAATTCTTTACAATGAGGGTGGTGAAACCCTGGCAGGGGTTGCCCAGAGAGGTGGTGGAGGCCCCATCCCTGGGAACATCCCAGGCCAGGTTGGCCGGGGCTGTGAGCAACCTGATGTGGTTCAAGGTGTCCCTGCTCCTGCAGGGGGGTTGGGCTGGGTGACCTCTGGGGGTCCCTTCCAACCCAAAACATTCTGTGATTCTGTGATTCAAATGTCATGATCAATGGCTTTTTTTTTGCAATTCGATTGCATCATCACCCTGCAATGAAGATTCCACATCAATAGTGGGAACAAGACAAGAGGGTGTTTTGAACTTTTTATGGCCGTAAAATATTCTGGCAAGGAAAAGCACTATAAAAACCCAAAGACATTTCCACGTTAACAAACACTTCGGTGCAATCAGTCATGATCAGGCAATCAAAGCATTTTGGGCTGAGGCTCCTATGGCTCCACCCTCTGCACTTTGAGGGTTTCCTTTGGATTAGATTTAGTCTGGTTTTTAGTCTAGCCCCCACCTGACGCATGGTTTGAACTTGTGTGAAGGACATGTTTGTATGTATGTTCTTTACTGGTAGGTCCATCACCGGTATACACCTGTAAGTCCCATGAGAGGCTGGAGGACACGTGATGGGCAACTGGAGTGAAGCTTCTGAAAGAAATCTGGTCCACGCACACCAAAACCACTTTGCACAGGGAAACACCACCACAATTGGTGGGAGTCACCTCCAAAGTGCAGTACTCGCTTGATTTAAATCACCAGTAATATATGTAGCCTAAGGTTTACTACTTGTCCATGATGCTTGAAGTAACAGATGCCACAAACAGGACTTGAGAGAAAAAGGGGGAGAGAGGTGTCATGGAGTTGTAGAGATTTCCTGGCCGTAATTAACTGTTAAATCACGAATAGGACTCTTCAAGTCCAGAGAAGAGATGCCCAGTGGGACATGGAACGTGACAGACATCTATAAAAAAAAAGTCACAAATGACCTGGAGAAGGTGGAGAGGCAGCAATCACCCATGCTTCCTCATAGCCCAAGCAAGTGGAGGCATTAGAAGAAATAATTGTGTGGTAGGTTCAACCCAAGCTTTTCTTGCCTCACCATGTCCCTTGCTGCTGGGATGGTGGGATTTGGAAAGCCTTCCAAGGGACTGAGCAATTCCTCCTCTCCCCCAGACAGGCTGTTAGGCTGCAAGGAGCTTTGATCTGATCCCATCCACCCACCATTGTGTTCCCAGGAGAAAAGTCAATATCCAGGCTCCATTTTAGGTGCCTGACATTGGACTACACTCTCAGTGAATGTGCCCATGGTGCTGAATGTGCTTTTTGCATGGGGGGCACACTGGGAGATCCCCGTGGCAATACCAAACGGCTGCAGAAAGCCCCATCCTACTCACCAGTCAAGCACGGGCACGTGGCTCTTCGTGTTGGCCATTTCAGAGGATCTGTAAGTTGAGGATGTTCTGCGACAGAGCTAGGAAACCATGGGTCCATCTAACTCCAGCCCTGCATCCTCCTCATGCGCACAGAGCCAGGCTCATAGAATCATAGATTCATAAAATCACAGAATCACTGAGGTTGGCAAAGCCCTTGAAGCTCCCCCAGCCCAACGGCTCCCCTACCCCTGCCATTCCACCCCCAAACCCTGGCCCTCAGCACCGCCTCTGCCCGGCTGGTAAATCCCCCCCGGGCC